CGTTTTCTCTTTTCCTTCTGCATTACCAACAGTGAATTGCTAAATACTCATATCTTATGCATTCCGTTGAATTCTAAACAAGTTGATGTGTAAAATAAGCCCATTAAAAACACCATTTATCCTCAAAGATCCCATTTAAAAGGTAATTTACCATAGTCAGTGAGTAAGCAGATTCTCATACAAAAAGAAAACAGGATTTTAGTCGGATATAACTCATTTCCTACCATTTTTCAAGTAGTTTTTTTTAACGATCCTTCTTGCTTTAGGTAAAATTTCAGCTTATGAGCTTGCTGTATTTATGTTATCTCTTTTTACACCATCCTCGCAAAGTTTGTATAATTCATTAGCCAACTGAGAACAAGAGCCGAAAGATTGTTTGATATTATTTATTCAACGAACAAATATTCTTTTACACTTGGTAACACAATGATTCAAAAAAATCAATCCCATATAAATAAATTTTATTTGTAAATATGTGACAACCGGTTTCAGCCTCAGACCATCATCAGTTCTACAAGTGAGGAAGAAAAACAGGTGTTATACAAGTATAAATACGAATAATATTTTTACTCACAATCGGTTACTAATCTGTGGATTTGAATCTTTCAAAACAGTCGGGAAACGACTTATTGCCTTACTTCACTTCCTCGGCTAGCATGTATCACGCAGTATTGCCAATGGTTAGAAACTAAATTATGCACTCTTAGATCTATAATTATGCGATTTTGTTCCAAATTATGCGCCAGCACTGTATGCGGTTGCTAATAGCGGGAGTTGAGTTTTGTTTTGGAGGGGCATGTCCAAAAATGTTTTTTAGGGGAAATATGTACAAAATGACATCCCGTATATGTCATTTAAATTTTCGCGTTACGAGCAGGTGATTTTCCCGAGTTTGAGCTTTTTCGCTAGTTCTCGTATTTCGTCAATAAGGTAAGTATTTTTATTTTAAAATAAGTTTTGATCATTATTCGGCATTGCTTACCTGTTTGATTTACCATGCCTATTATTAATTAGTGAATGGATATAGCGGTTTTGTTTTAATTCAGTTTAGAGTTTGATAGATCAGTTATGTACAAAACGACATATACCAACTACGTCCAAAATGACATACTATGTTATTTTATCCATTTTTTTGCAGGTTGAAAACAATGCCGCGCAATTACAAGAGAACTTCCGAACGGCAAAGCTGAAGTGAATTATCAATGGCAAAGGCAATTGAAGCTGTGAAGAAAAATGAAATGGGATGGCTGAGGGCAGCTAAAATGTTTGGAGTTCCTCAGGCAACTTTAAGAAGACACGCGCTTAACAAAAACAAAATCCTAAAAGCCAAAAATAAAGGATTGGGAAGATACAAGACCACTTTCCCATTTGAAGTAGAGAAACAGATTGCAGATCATTTGAAGTTAATGGAAACGAGATTTTTTGGTTTTACTTGCAAGGAGGTACAAGAACTAGCATACCAACTAGCAGAAAAAAATGGTTTTGAGCATCGTTTCAATAAGGAAAGAAAAAGAAATGGTTATCTGGATTTCGAAGAAGAAATAAAGACATCAGTTTAAGAAAGCCGGAACCCACGTCCGCAGCTAGGGCACAGGCCTTTAACAAGCCCATAATCCAACGTTTTTTTAAAGCATTGCAAGACGTTTTAGACAAGTATAAGATTTCTCCGATTCGTATGTACAATGTAGACGAATCGGGTTTATCTACAGTTCAGAGGCCTCAAAAGATTTTTGCAACTGCTGGCCGCAAGCAAGTTGGAGTAATAACAAGTGCAGAAAAGGAATCCAACTTAACTTCTGTTTATTGCATGAGCGCAACAGGTAATTTTGTACCCCTTTTCCTTATTTTCCCCCAGAAAAACATGAAAAATGAATTGACTGATGGGGCACCAATTGGCACCGTAGGGGTAGCGCAAGAGTCAGGCTGGATGACTTCTAACCTGTTGTACAAGTGGCTTGTCCATTTTCAGTCACACGTCAAGGCGACTCCGGAAGATAACGTTCTGCTTATTTTAGATGGACACATCAGTCACAAGGGAATTGACACTGTAAATTTTGCGAAAGAAAAAGGTATTATTATCTTCTGTCTACCAGCTCACTGCACCCACAGAATGCAACCTTTGGATGTGTCCTTTTTCGGACCACTAAAGACTTATTTCAATCACAAGAAATAACGTTGTGGCTTAAAGAACATCCTGGCAGAGTGGTGACAAACTTGCAGATTGGAGATATTTTTGGCAAGGCATATGAGAAAGCAGCAACTGTACAAAATGCATGTAGTGGTTTTAAAATCACTGGTATATGGCCTCTAAATCTACCTATTTTTCCAGACTATGTATTCGAACCATCGGAAACCAACTAATATTCCTCAAGAATCCAATAATAACACTACAGTTGTAGACACCAGTCAGACAGTTGCAACACCTGAACCCGAGCCTGAATCTAGTGCATCTGGCTCTCAAACAGAAATCGTAAGCACTTCGCCAAAAAAAATATTATAGTTTCCTATTGACAAAATATCTCCCGTGCCGCAAGGAGGTTATATAACTGGACAGGGTAAGAGGAAACCTCGAAGAAGACAGAACGTTCATGAACTGACTTCCACTCCAAATATGGAAGACGTTAAAGCTAAGGAGGCTTCTAAACCTACAAAGCCCACACTCGTCGGAAGGAAAAAAGTTATCAAGGTTGTAAGTTTTGGTAGTGATGCTCCTGACGAATCAACACCATCTACATCTGGAGAAAAAATACAAATAAGGCCTAGATTTAAAAGAAAAGCATCTGAGCCTTTAGATCTGAGTTCAGAATTTGAGGAGGAGCGATTTGCCGATATAAATGAGGAAGACTGTTCATGCATTTATGGCAATGATTTGTTTTCGCGTTCGAGATCAAATTAAATATGGCTCCAGTGCTTGAATTGCCAGAAATGGGCACATTTTCTATGCACCGATGTCCCAAAATCTACAAAAAATTTCATTTGTGAACTGTGTTCCTAATTACTACTGCTGGACTATTGTTTGTTTTGTGTTATTTTTACCCTATGCCATTTTGTACATATTATATGGGTAAAATGGTTTAGGACATACCCTATAAGAAAGTTTGTAAACTCCTTTTCTTGTGTATTCCTAGTGTTGACATTTTTGTGTTTCGATCGTCCATATATCAATATTTCTTTAGTTTATATGTTTTTTTTTAATTCTAATAAATAAATTTTTTAAAAATAAAGTGAAAACAGTATGTAATTTTGTACATATTTCCCCTATGCTTTCAAAATATAGAAATAAACGGATTAAATTTTATTGTGACTCCTAAGCAAACGCTATTGTTTAAAACTACGCACGAGTCACTTTGTGTCATTGTGAATTAGTTTGGTGAGGCAGAGGTTCTATTGGAATTGGTATTAATTATAAAACTATATAATAATATTAACTTGGTCAATATTTTGCCTTTCTATCGTTTTCACGTTTAAAAAGATGGCCAGAAAAATTATTAATAGAATAAAGTCAGATGTCCATAGAGCAAATTTGAAAAGGTCACTTTAATACATCCAATCACTGCCCGAGAAAAAACCGCGCGGATTAAAGGTTCTATGCTGAATGCGTAATAATTCGCTTTTTAAATAATCTTTAGGTCTGTTCTGGTTTTGAAAAATAAAGATTCACAACTGTCGGGCTCATGCGCAGTAGATAAAAAGCGACCTGGTTTTTGATCAGACTACTTCTGTCAAAATGTATTCATGCCTCGGAGTGTAGATCGACTCAGACTGTTTTGACCGCGCATGCGTTTTTAAAGTGATTTTTAATTTGCTTTTTAGACCATACAGAATATATTACAATCCCAAATGATTATTTATGTGTGGATGAATGTCTCTTGTTCTTGTTTTATTTATAAATTAATGCAATTTTAGAATAATTAACTTTTTTAATATTATTCTCCCGTTCTTTTTTATTCCGTTAAAATGTGATGAAGATGATAATGATAAACATAAACATACAAATTTTATTTCAAGCTGAGCTTTCAAAAGGAACTGCATTATTATAATAAACAATAAACAAAACACCACATCGCGCAAGTGTACAATTCCATTTAAATTTTATGTGTACAGGACAGGGAATCTTATGTGAATACTCAACGCGTAATTAAATAGAGAGAGACATGACATACGAATCGCATTCTGCGGAACGAAGATAGTCGTCTTAACACATGCCGAATTGAAAGAAGATAATCCCAGTGCTGGTTTTCCGACAATTTACGTATTGACAAAAAGTATTCTGATACGTTTCTTACATTAGTTTTTTAAAAAATCTAATATTAAATTGTTATTTAGTGGTGTTATTAAAATGAATGGTTTATTTTAAACATTTTCCTAAAAATATCCGACAGTTAACTTGAACAGAACTGCGAGTAGTTGTAGACAAATCTACCGAAGGTTTCTACAAAAAAAATTGATAGCATTTCCGGTAAAATCGAAAGTCGGCCATTTTGTTTAAGTATACGTGTCCATTCTAAATTATGTTTTAATCCCAATCGCTTCGTAAATGAAAGATAAATTAATGTGGCCCGATATAATAATATCCCTAAATATTTCCTCAGCCCACTGACTATTCACTAACCCAATAATGCGAATTACCTGCAGTCTAAGCTTTACATTAATCCTCTACACTTCTTGGTAAATAATGTTTTTAATTAAAAATTTACTTTTTTACGATCTTAACTTGACAGTAAACTACTTATTTATAGGTCCATTATACCCCACCTATTCTTAATGTTTATGGAGCGTAGAGCAATTTAAAATGTAAAAAACTGCATTTCCACCCGCTGCAAATAAATTTCTGAACTTTGCGTTGGTTATACTTACTACGTAGTTATATTTTCAACATTTTTCATCTTGTATCATCAGAAATTTGATTTCGAACCGTTTGTTTGATAAATTCATTCTCTTTAAAATAAAAAAAAAAAACAAAATTAACTAAGATTTAATACATTTTATTTTAATTTTAGTTGGTTGGTCACGTGATGCCAGGTGGAGGAATTGCCATAACCGGCCAGGAACAAAGTCAACTTGGCGGAGGATTTCAGGAAGGAGCTGAAGCTCCAAAAGGTATTATTCATAATATATTATTAACACGCCATCGTGACAAATAATAATTGAAGACTGCCTTTCAAAAACGACACATGTCCAAAAATGCCATAATTGAGTTGTTAACTGTGACTATCTCTCTAGACTAAATATCAGCTATCGAGCTAAAGCTCTCGGGCTCTAATCAGATTGTTAATGCCTAAAATTATGTCTCATCAAATTGATATTAAAATATTCTCAAAATTTATATTCAACAAAATAGCCAACTATTATCAAGGTCTTGGTATATTACCCTTGATAATTAGTGGCCAAGTGTTGTATTTATCGACACAAATGGTGATTTTCTATAGAAGTAATACAAAAACAGAGATATTCATTGCCAAATACAAATAATTCATTTAATAATGAAATCACAATCAAAATTTACATAAAGTCACAAACTGGAAAAACTGTTATTTATTTACGTCTAAACACAAACCAATTCTTCTTCGTCGTCTAGCAAAAACATTATGCAAAGTTATTGATATCTTCACACCTAATTAATGCTTATTATGTCACCAAAAAATTCACCATGATACTGAACGGTTTCTCGTCATATGTGCTGTTGCGCCATATTGTTGAAAATACCCATTTTGTAATTTATTCCTCTTCATTGATGAGTTAATTTGTGATATCGTGCTTACTGCTGTATTTCTTCAAAAGAATGTGTTCCCCCACTAATCGTCTTCGATATATGCGAACCCAAACACCAACCTTTTGGGAATGCACTGGTTCTTCAACTAAAAAATGAGATTACCAGTTGACCATACCTCAAACACAAATTCAGAATCTGTATCTGTAACATTTGTCACTAACGATGTTGTCAGTCCAATAGAAGGGACACGTCAAAAAAATATTTGGTTGGCTGCCTTCTTGGCAAGTGAATCAGCAGCGATGTGGCGCGACCTTTGATCAATATTAAGTTGACCACATTCTTGATGGATACTTCGGACAAAGCTTCGTGACATTCTAGTACTAACCCTAAATAAATTCGTGGTCTGTCCAGGGTGAGTATTACTTGTCTGCTATCTGTATAGATAAGCATGTTTCTTCCAGTGATATTATTTCTGGTGATTTCTTTTGCTACTATGAGAATCACCGTGAGCTTGGTTTAAACTACACTGACACTACTGCTAACATCCCATTCTATATTTAGGTTTAAAGATCTGAAGTATATTCCACATCCTGAGCCTTGTTTGGTTATAGAAGTATCGGTGTAGATATGAATCGTACCTGCCACTTCCGACTAATCTATTTGATCTATTATAACTTTATATGGCTTATAGAAGATATATCTCGGTGAGATGGAGTCCATGTTCGCTTAAAGCAGTGGGAGCGTATCAAGCGTCTCCTGCCAAAACCGATATCTCGCCTTACCAGATCCTACATCAGATTCTATTCCAACCTTGCGGAGGCGTATCCTTGTCATCAGAGCAACCTCCCTAATGTAAATATCAAGGGAAGTGAGACTAAGAATGACTTCCATGGCTCTGGTCGGTGTGGTTAACATGGCGTCTGTTATGTTGAAACATGTTGTTCTTTGAATTTGTTCTAGTTTGCAATTAACTGTCAATTTTTGGGTTTTCGTTACCCAGACAACTGCACCACATGTTAGGATAGGTCTTATGATGACCGTGTAAATCCATGTGATGACTGTGCAATGTATGTTTTTTTAACTCTGTTTTCTAAGTGTGAGTTCCATTTTAACTTGCTGTCAAAGGTGAGACCAAGGTACTTTACCTTTGTTGCAAATATTAGCTTTGTGTTTAGGACCATTTGTCTTCTTGAGATTGATAAGACAGCGAATGGTTCTTGTACCATATAAATACTACTTTTACCTCTCTTTATTTTTGGAGGATATACCTCAGCCTACGAGGATTTAAGTATATCTACCAGGTGAGGTGTGAGTTCTTCCAGACCCCACTGAAGTAGGGCTTGATAGGTACCGTTAGGTGCTGGCGATTTAAATGAAGAGAAGCTATATATTGCCCATCTAATTTTGTCATTGTTAACAATGTATTTAGCAGTTTGCCAATCGCAGACAGATGGGTTGTGTTCTTTCTGTGCCCAGTCGGCCACATCTATGATGACCGAGTCAAGGAAGTGTGTTGATTGCAGAAGTTTGATGCTATCTTCAAGATTTGCAATTTTTATGCCATCTTCTTTAATAAGCGCACCAATCCTGCGGTTTTGATCTCTTGAGAAAGCTTTTTGAAGCCTCGCTGCCTGCGGGAAATCTTCGATTTCTTCGCAGTAGGATCTCTATGCATCCCTCTGTGGTTGTCTTATGATTTTTTTATGTTCTGTGAGGTCAGATTTGTAAGTATACCAGTCCTCTTTGAGTTTTGTGGTCCTTGCTTTATTAAAAGATTCCATAGTCATCTTCCTGAGTAACATCGTAACATCATTATGAGGTAGTCGTCTAATCGTGTTGGACCAGCCTCAGGGAGCAGGATTTCTTATAGGCATTCTTTCTTGTGCTTTAAATAGTGTTCTAGTACTTTTTCGAAGCATTGTTATTGTTTGGTGTTTGGGCCTCCACCTCTCCCAAAGCCTTTTGGAGAAGGTGAGCATAGGTTGTCCTCTTCATTTTCCTAGGGTTATAACATGCAGGTTGGCAACATCAAAAACAAATTCAGGAAGTTCTTCAAGAATATCAGCCATGCATTCTGGAATTTAATACTGCCACTTGTCAATTTAATAATTTTTGATTTTTGTTATGTGTTGAATACTGCTTTTTAATTGTCTTAATAAAAATTTTCGACTAATATTTGACACAAAGGTTCATTTCAGTCTCTTCACAAAGTTGTGCTCTTTTTAGAATATTTTCCATGACGTCTGTCAGCACTTCAGATTTTAAACCCCTAATTTCAGCTCGAATCTTATATCTAAGGTTCCTAATGGTTCTAGGCTTATTAATGTACATCCTTTCTTTGAGATATCCCTGAAGAAAATAATCAGGCGTTGTTAAATCCGGCGAGCGAGACGGCCAATTAAATGCTGACAAACGTCATGGAAAACGCTCTTAAAAAAGCACAACTTTGTGGCCTTTACTTCTGTAGTAAAAAAAATTATAAAATTTATATAACATCAATTATGAATATTTAAAACCCCGCAGCGACCTTTGCGCCATATTATCTATAACTTCTAAATGGTCCACCGAACCAACCACATGTACAATTTTCTTTATTATAGTAATAATTTTTTACGTATGTAATTAAACCAGTCTCTGGCAACGAATAAAGATAGAAAATCTCTACAGCGGATTATACTCTCTCAACAATACAATTGTATAAAACATAATGGGTAATAAAAAAAAAAACAACACGGAAGTTGCAAAACTCTGGAACCCGATCTCGAAAAGTCGATGCCATGATACACTAAAAACTTTATGCGTGTCCGCTTTTAATTAGTAAAAGACCAACTTTCCAGACTGATACATCAACATTAAATAGAAAATAAAACTCACTCTTCAGTACATTTAACATCAGTTAACAATAGCTTTGTTATTTGCTCGTATACTAAAAGTTATAAACTTCGTCTATAGGTTAAAAAGTTAGTTGTTTGTATTTATAGTATTTTGTATGTCTGCCCTGGATAAAGTTAAGAATACAGATACATAATTGGCTCTTTCGCGATTTATTTTTGATTCCGCGTATTATATTCCAAACTGATATTCTCGTGCTCACCTGTGGTCTTATTAGTGCTAATTCAGTTCACATTTTCCACATAGTATTGTGAATGCCGTTTATCTACGCCCGTGAGTTAAGAACTGCTTATCCCACTCATTTTGCGTGAGATACGGAGTTTATTAACGCACGCGTTTTTCTTATCTCACTGCTTTTCAATCAATCAAATAAAAAAGTCAAAATGTCAAAATCATAAGCCAATACCATGATGTTTCTAAAAATTCAAATAGTCATTATTTTCAACTTCATAGGCAACTTCCTAATAATATTCCTCATCTCAACAATTTTGGTTTACCTAAAAAATATACTTCTATTCTATCACGTCTCAAATTAAATCATGGACGGTTTCCTGCCCATTTGCACTTGCAATAATAAGTCGGTTGGAGACGCCAATCACCTTTTCGTTGAATGTCAAAATTATGCATTACAAACATCTGGGCTATATAAATCTTTAATCTCTCTCAATTTTCCTCTACCAGTAAATTTGACATCCCTTCTGACAAGCACCGATAAACATATCCTCGATATTTTAATTAAATTTATATGCGATACTAAGCTAGATATTTGAGACACTACTTTTTTTTTCCTTTTTTTTTTTGTATTCCGTTTTTATTATTTAAACATTCTGTGGCAAATGGACACCGTTCGAAGCCATATCTCTCACACAACACACAACAATGTCAAAATCTATTTAAATTTAATAACAAATTACTGTCACAATCTAAAGTAACAAGCAACTATATTTACAGCTTAAGTATTTATTATAAATATTAATAATACAATCTATACAGTGTTCCAAATAAATTCAAGTGCTTTAAACATTAATCGCGTGGTCATTTGTATTAACATCCGAATTTCTATTGAGGTTTCCCAGAATGTTCACCACTATGTTCTTTTTATTTTCACTGAACTGTCAATATAACCCTCAGCTACTGTGTTGGAACGCCAATAACCATGACGTTTTACTGTTAATAAATCTGCACCCGAATCTGCCAGCAGTGACGTGGAGGACCGCCTCAAACAATGCCCAGTGTACTCTTCAGGGTGATCTAGTTTCAGATATATAAGACAATTTTCTTTGGCAGACTTTCAAAGATTTGATGCCCACTTTGTAATCACACTCGAACTTCACTTAAGTGATATGTCACAAATCATATTGTTTTTCTATGCTCTATGTCAGTAAACGTTAAAAATCGCACTATCAACATTCCTTGTAAATAACATTTAACAATAACATGCACGTAATGAGATCTCATAACATACACGCGCGTTTTGATAAGAAAACTTAAATTT